CAGATTTTCAATGTCAGCCAGTCACATCACAGCCAGCTAATGTTAGCCACGGCTTATATCATTCATACGGCACTTGTCAAACTAAGCTAACGTTAGCGCAATAAAATTAGCACCTGACATATTTAACAGCTTTATCTTTTACCTGCGTTTTAAAAACAGCCGCCAGACTGTTTGTTATATGTGGTGGCGAGCTGTAGCTACAGTAAATAAGAGACTCTACACAGTCTGTGTCAGTTACGAATGCTAGCCGCCGTTAGCTAACCGCCTAGCATAACACGTTAACTAACGGTGCTAATTTAGCTTCAATCAGCGGGCCTTTCTCCAGCAACATCCCCCTCATCCCTCAGTCTCGCTCTACCACACCGGAGCATCGCTTCGGTTCGCCCAGGGACAAACTGACCTCCCCCGCCGTCGTGGTTGCTGTGCTGGCGGTGGATGCGGCGCTCGGGGTCGGGGACCGCTGCAGAGTAACCAACGCCATGGCTGGAAGCTGAGGATGATGCACCGGCCGGCCGCTGTGGCCTGGTGAGCTGCAGCTAGCTGCTGGGCTAACCGTGTACTACTGATAGATAGATGGACGGCTGATTGGAGGGACAGCAGCCGTGTTATCCTGCAGGCTGGGCTCTCTGTGCAGGAAGTGCTGCCTTCAAGGCCCCATCCATGCCCAGAGCGCCCATTTCTGAAATGATATAGTGATAAAGTGGCACTCATACAAAGAAGTTTGTTTTTCTATATCACCGTGAAACCAGGCAACTCAGACTGGTTGCATAATATTTTAAAGACCATTCAGACAAACAATAAAACAACACAAGGAAATGTAAAAAGGCACATATAAGTCAAATTCATATGATGATTAACCAGAGCTTGGACTCACTGTCAGCTGATTTAGTGTGACGGTGAAAGCACTGAAACAAAATATGTTTATTAGCATTTTATGCAACGTAGTGAGGTTTAGGGTCCAGCCAGTCATCAGGAGTACAGTAGATGGAACAAGCATCCCATAAAGTTTATTCATGCCAAAGTCCATATTAAACAACTTGCACATTTCTGTTGATGTTATAGTTCTGAAATAGTCATTCTGCTCTTAGTCTGTGTTCACTTTAGCCCCTTTTCTATTGTTCTATTTTTGTAGATTTCATTTACTACATTTTCTAACTTGTTGTGATTTGGTGTTTTCTTTTTGCTGCTGTAACAAAATAATTTCCCAGGTCTGGGATAAATAAAGTATTTCTATTCTATTCTAAACATACAAAGAAAAAACACCAGCCAGTGCATCCAGGGCAGAGTTCTGTCTTTACCCAGTGACTGAACATTAAAGAACACTTTCATTTTAGTTACATCTCAAGTTGAGCCCCCAAGACACACTGAGATTTCAACAACTACAAATCTTCTTTTAGACAGTCCCGAGGCTTACTGATCAGACAGCAGTGATCAACCTCAGACCAGCGCCGCTCTCCAACCACTAATCAGAGTAAAACAAATGATTACATCAACAAAAGATGCTTATCGAGAACACTGGAGGAATCAAAGTAAAACTCAAAACAAACTTTATTACTGTAAAAGTTCGATAAAACAGGCAGAATACCTCTGTTAGTGTCAGAGATGCAAAGCAGCGATACAGCCTGACCAAACACTGACCACCATAGAACCAGGACGACACAAGAAGTTATGGCTGCCAGTTAAAGAAAGAGTCTGTGGTCCCTGCAGACTTGTGACACAGAGATGCATGTTGTCTTAAACTGTTAAAAATGCAACGATATAAGATATCAATACTTTAAAAAGTCGGACTCGTTAAACACCCAATTTATAGAACTATGACAGCAAAAACCCTGCAGGGGTGTCCAATCCTGGTCCT